TTTATCCCGCTCACGCGAAAAAAAGAAGCAAAGTGGTATATTGGAAGCGAATGAAAACGGATTATTTTCGTGAAAACCTCGTTAACCTTCGGGACTCATTCTCTTAAGCAATCATGGAGGCCGCAAGTTCAGCAGCATTACGCTGTTTTGAAGCAATTCTTATGCTACAAGAGGGCTGGAACAGCTGTTCCAGACAACTCTTCAATGCTGCTTGTTCAGAGATCCTGCTTCTGCGCTAGAAAAGCCCGTGCGGAGACAAACCCGCGGCTTCCCGTTTGTGACTCGGCCCTTGCAACGCGCGCCCAGATGTTTTTGTGCTCAGCTTTGCCGTCTCCCCACTTCGAACCGGTCGGCAGCGCAGAGCCTACCTTGTGCTGGGGCTCCTGCTCCAGCACACAGGAGGAGGTGTGCACCCCCGGGAGAAACGGTTAGGAATTACATAAACTTTGCTGTAATTTTCTTGATAAAACTCCCTGCTCTGACTGTTATTTCTGCAACTGTGACCCCCCCCCCCCCCCCCGGGGTGGGATCCTGGACTGACGACTCCGGCAGCTGCTGCATTGTACGGAACGGTCCTCTACAAGCTCCTTGCTGCCCGGGTGAGGCTGGTCTGAATTCCAGGAGCATTTCTAACCTCTCCGGCTGCCCCACGGTGTGACCCGTTTCACACGCCAGGAGCGCTTGAGATTCATGATGACATAATAGAGTAAGATGAGATATTAATGCTCTTAGGCATGAATTAATGAAATACCATTGAGAATTTATCCTGCATGTATAAAAGGATTTGGAAGCTGTCGTTCTAAAAACCCCATGAAGGATTTTGCTGAAAATTCTCCAAACACTCTGTTGGAATAGAGAGGGTCCTAATGAACCTTTACTCCAGATTTTTGTCGGAGCTGGATCCATTAACCGAGCTCCTGCTAATTACAAACTGTTTATACAAACGAGAGGCACACAGCTCTTGCTTCCAGGGCCGTGGCAGTGCTAATTTTTACCCCCAACTCAGCGCAAAGCCGGCTTCCAAGCCGTGGTGGAAGCGTGGAGCAGAGACCCAGCACGCCAGCGGCACCCGTCCAGCCGGGCGCACGATCTCGTAGCGCAGCCACACGGCAAGAGCCTGGCCTACTGGAACGGCAGCAATGCTCCTCAGAAGTGGGGAAGGTGACTGTCACCGCCGAGTTAAAAAAAAAAAAAAAGAATCTAAAGCAAATCTAAGGTATCCTTTGCTGCGACCTCCCTGGCGCACCCCTCATCATTCTCCACCGTCCCCTGGAGTCAGCGAGCTAAAAGCCCGGTGAAGATGCCGTGTATGCACCATGGGCTACGTGTAGCGTCTCGTGACAGAGAAAATACTTTTATTCGGGGATAAAACGTTACACTAGCTTACGTCGTCGTGTAATCAAGCGTCTAGGAGACAAGTTGTGTTCGTTTCGAGGCCGAGTGGGGTAACAACAGCGCACAGGGGCTGTTGGCTTGTTGTGGTTGTGGTTGCTCTGTTCATGTCTGTTCCGAGTAGTTCAGAAAAAGGTTTCCTTAAGAATTAGGACATAAAATATGACACATGTTTTATCCATAACTTATGTCAATTTGAAACACCTTTTATTGCCTACATAAGTGAATATATGTAAACTTTATTAGTAATTTCATTTCAAATTTAAAAGAAGCAAAGGTGTATCGTAGAGTTCACAGATAAAGGTTAATTTTAACTATAAAGGTATTACCAGTGTTGCATTTCTTCATGTTATGGTTCACTTATGTAGAGTTGAGATGTATTTTATATTAAACAATGCATAGCACCATTATACAACAGTTCACTAAATGCACATCCCATTTAATCTTTTGTAGGAATTAATATAACTGGACTGAAGTTACAAGGAAGAATTGAACTGAGCCCGTAGGGTTAACACTGATACTAACAGGAGATTACTAGCCATAGGAAAATTACAGCTCTTCTGAAAGACAGTGCCTAAAATAGCAGCATATCCTTGGCACCATCATAGGAACTGGTTAACTGATGACCCTGAAGAAACACTCGTTTCCATTAATTCTGCCGTCATTACTTCGCTACTCTCGAGCTCTTCCTCTGAATTCTTCTGTCCTTCGGATCCCAAGACAAGATGGCAGGAACGTGAGGAGAGAACATAAAGAAAGTACAATAAGCTGTCGGCTACATCATGATGCCGTAACCTGCTCCACCGCGGAGTGACACCAACAGAAATCCCGCACGGCGTCGGCCGCTGGCTGCTAGCTAACACAGGACACTCACTAGCGGCAACGTTCAAAAACCAGGCTCACTAAAAAAAGCAACATCTACAGTACAAGGAAGCTAACAAAAGGATTCCCGTACGATACTCAGGTTCAGCTGGTTCACCTTAGGTTCATCAGCTACATTTTCTTGTCTCACGACGACACGTGCCATTGAGTATCTACTGAAGATCACAATGCTACAAACCTTTCTCCAGCACGTGGTTTTGCCACCTTGAGCGAGGAGGCGCTACACAAAGGAGCACTTGCTCGAGCTAGGGCTGAAGGTTCTGCTGAAAGTTGTTGGTGACGTTATTAGGTCATGTGTACTGTAATTACTTGAGCACCACAATTTTTAGATCCCCAAGACACGATTTCCTAGGCAGAAGGCAGCAAGTATGCTTTTAAGTTGCCAGACAGACTTAGGGAATCATTTTTGCTCCACAGAGTCTGCTGCGTATCCTGACTCGGAACCAATTCTCATTTCGTAGAGACTTCAGGTTTTTAAAGCATCTCTACTGAACAGAAGTAAAGAGTTTCTGATGAAATTTTAAACGTTCCAGTGAGTTTACTGCAAACATAGTGACTTTTAAGTGTTAAGGAACAGGCTGGCCAGAGTTCCCCGTAGGGTTGATGGCGAAGATGCCTTTTTCTTCAAGAACAATTTTCTACAGTGTCACAGTCCTGCTTGCAGATCTACTGAGGTTACCTGAACCCCACGGTTCCATCTCAACCTGGATTATATTTTTAAATTTTTTTTTTTTTTTACAGAGTTTGAATTGTCTCAACAGCAGGAAGTCTCGCCCAAAATATACTTCTGGAATCCAAACTTTTTCGAAACGCATCGATTTCTTTTCCACGTGGACTTTACCCGTCCCAGTGGATTAGAAGGCAACAGAATCGACGCGGCTTCCAAACGCATTTTTGCCGTTATTACCACACATACAGACACAGTGGCCACACACGAAACGGTGGCCTCTGTGACGCCAGGGCATTCACTGGAGAGTTAATTTGGAAGAGCCCAAATTTGGAAGCGGTGACAAACGAAGTCCTTGCCGTTCTGTTTGAGAGGGACAGAAGAGGGCTGGCAATCAACACAGCAAAGCCTTCAGGCTGCTGGTTTCGCCACCGATGCGTAGGTAACGTCTCGGGCAGCGGCTGCCTCCCGCCACCTCTCCAGTCTGACGGGAGTAGGGACGGTCGTGACGATTGACCACACTCTGACCACACTCAAACCAGCGCCGTGGTGGACTAATCACTGAGCTAGCGCTCCGAGCGCTGCCCACGTGCTGCTTATTCATGTTTTCCCCACTGCGACAACACATCATCTTCATCACTAATAATTAACTGCCAATTACTGTTGCCGAGAATATGGTAGTGGTGGTCACCACCCTATTTTTAATTTCAGTACAGATGCCTACTTAAAAGTTACGTGAATATACGGAATTACGGTACGTTTTCCTAATGACCCTGCTACGTCTGAGTTGGACGCTATTCAGCTGTGACTAATGAGCGGTGAAGACGACCTCTCTTCTGCAGAGCTACAGAGACAGTTTCTATTGTATCCTCGACACTTAAACCATGACATGTAAAGAAGCCATTCTAAGCAGGGTACAGCTGGGTCGAAGGACTGCTGATGCCAATTATGCTTCGTACATAATAATGCACATTTTTACCTATTTGGAAAAAAATTCACATTTATTTACTGTCAAACAGGTGTTAAACTTTACACTGGATATTAGTGATGGGCTCATTATTAACAGGTTTACACAAAGGGATGAAAAAAGCAGAATTTTGTTGAAACAATTTACATTTCATTAGATTTTTATCATAAAATAAATTAATTACTAAATATAGGCAGAAGGAATATGGAAGAGTAATAGTTATGTTTTATTTATTTTTTTTTTTTTTTTGGAAGGACAGGCACCTTGTAGTCACGAGAAAGCTTGTGAGAAGTGTCCAGTGTCCCCTTCACCCCTTACCACCCAACCCTGATTAAAGAACGAACAGGGAACTGAGTTACAATCTTCGTTAGCTACACCAAATTTGTGCAAGGCTTGGCATAATTGGCTTCCAAAACAATTTTCTCCCCAAATCATGGTTTTTGGCAATAAAAATTCAAAACGTAAGAATAAAAACTAACTCATCAAAGCAGAACGCTGTTTACAGTGAAAAATAAGTGAAAATGGGTAGAACTTGCATTTTAAACATACTACCGTACTATGAACAGAGTGTAAGAAAAACAGCTTATAACATATGTGCAACCAAGAGCTTTTCACAATATCTTCTTCAAACTCTTTTAAAATTATTTTTTTAATGACAATTATATTTCAGTTGGACACAAATGTATTTGTTTTACCCTAGCAATAGAACAAAATATAATTTCTTTAGCCATTTTTTCTGATGAGAACTGTTCATTGTACAGTTGAGGAAATATATGAAATAAGGCCTGTGGCTTGATTGCTAGTGGTTAGACATGTATTCAATCTTTGCCCTAATGGAAAAGATTTGCAGTGAACTGCAAACTGATGCAGAATATCTCTCCTGCTTTTGCAAGTCTTGTCAGGAATAGTAAGGTACAGTAAATTTGTCCCACAGGATTTTAGAGCCTACGCCTTGTATATAATACAATGTAGGCCTAGAAAAAAAAATGGTGCAGCCATATTTACAAATTTAGTTCACAAACTGCTGCAGTAAAATGGCTGGAAAGTGTTTATTTCTCTCTCTCTCTCTTTTTTTTTTATTTTTATTTTTTTCACAATTTTGTTAAATTCAGCAGCAGAAGATATCTTAAAATACCTTGTTGGTATTTCTTTTCTTTGTAACAAATAATTCATTTTAGTATACTCTGTGTATATACAAAGTTTTTGTTTTATAAAAATTCACAGAACTGCGAGGTCCAGTCATCCCCGTTCCTGGAGAACCACAGGGTCAACAGAATCGTCTCTTCAAGCAGGTACGAGGGAGCCGGCACGGGGCCAATTAAGTCCTTTCAACACTTGTTCGTGGCCTTTAATATTTCTCTGCTACGCTATTAAAGGCTCGTCACGAGTTGCATTTGTCCTTCTCGAACATCCCCTTCTGGAATACATCCTTCCTTGTTAATGGGAATGATATAGCCGTCGCTGTTCCCCCTGCTGATTTGATAGTACATCTGAAGCTGGTGGCCAGCTCCCAGGTTTGGCATGCTCTTGCAGTAAATGTCCTCGTTTTCGCTCCTCCTGGAGGGAGAGAGATCTTCCTCAGCGTCGGGGCTGCTCTCGGGGTACGGAGAGTCTCTGAGGTTGGGCATGCTCGTGTAAAGAGAGTCTCTGTTGGGGGACTGGAGGTGGTCGTCCGCCTCGGCCGTCAGCTGTGAGACGTAGCTGTCGGTTCCCTCGGTCTTCACTTTCTTCTGGGGCTGGTACAGAAGGGAGTGAGTCCGCTGAGGAATGAGCGGGGCCTCGAGCTCCTTGTGGTGGAGCTCCAGCCCCGGGGTGTCGCTGTGCATCAAAGACGAGGCGTCGGCCACGATGGCGTCATCTTCGCTACTGCTCCCGCCGATGACAGCTTTGGCCGGCAGCGCCCGCTCCAGGTTGTGGTTCTTGCTGCCGCCCCGCAGGTTGTTGTGCACTAGTTCCGAAATGATCATTTTCTCGAAAGCGGTGTCGTTCAGGCTTAGTCCACAGTCCACCACTTGCACGCCGTCGTTGTAGTCGCCGTTGCGCAATGAGTAGCTGTTGTTGAAATTACCATTTAGCGGTAGAGTATCCATGGCACTTGTATCCCTGGCATTGTTCAGTGAATGTCCTGAAACGGGAAAGGACAGCGCTGGTTACTGCCTGAGGGGCTTGCTAGCACGTCATTAACTTTTTGTTTGCTTGTTTTAACGACATTCTTTAATGTAGTTCAGGACAAAGTTGTACTTGGAAGTAAGACTTGAGAAAAGGTAGGCTATCGAACATTCCCAAATGCAAACAGGTGCACACCGTATAGGAAAGAGGCATTTTGAAAACAGCAACGTCTGTTTCCTGTGGGGAATCGCGGCCTTTTTTTTTTCAGATTTCTGAATTTGGCGTCAATTCTGTGACTCTTCCACAAGGAACTGTTCACTCCATGCCCTTGCATATGTAATGCAAAGCAATTCATTGGGAAACATCTATGTTTTGAAGTACACCACCATGATTTAGAAAAAGAAAATCAACAGAATTTGTCCTAAACGACACTAAATTAAAAAGGAATTAGATCACAGACATAACTGAAGGTAAATGTACAACATAAACCCACGTAACTGGCAAGCAACTACTTTAACGACACTGCTAACATTTTTTTCCTTTTTTCTTTTTTTTTTTTTTTTGAGATGAAGTAAAGAAAAGAATGAAAAAAAATGGATAAATACAAAGAATTCATGTTAAACGAGGACAGCCATCTTTCACACTACAGGGACCAGGGCCCACAAGCACCATCCAACAACACGATAGACAGCAGGTGGAATGACTCACTTTGGACAACTCACATCATGTCTGTCTGCTCAGGCTATCTGGCCTAAGAGTAGCTGATATATAAAAGAAAGTAAAATGATTTATTGTAACATGATGAAGAATTACTGAGCTTCTCAGCAACTTAGTCAGAGCAAGGGTTCAGCAAATTAGATTACTAAGCAATAACAGCTTTTCTTTTCCCACTTAATGTAATTTTTTTTTAATTTTTCTTTTTTTTTTTTTTTTTTTTTTTTTTTTGCCCTAATATCCCCCCTGCCAACAACGGCCCCAGGCTTCTAAAGGTCAAGGTTTGCCTGCAGTCTGCATCAGTCACAGTGACAGCGCTGAATGAACCAGAATAGTTAATTACCAGTTAGGCCCAGCGTTACCATGGGCATGGAAGTCAAACGCAGCAATGTTAGGAATTTCTGTAAGTATGGGTCACAGAAATTAAACCAAAGAATAAATATTAGTTGTGGAATGGGAAGGGGAAATCAGCCATGGCTGATATCTCACAGCTGCTGGAGGAATGACAGATCGGGTAAGTCTGCTGGAAACATGAAAAGAAGTTTGGGGGGGGGGGGTGGGGAATGAAGTCTTGTGATGATTAAGGTCTTTATGCTTTTGGGGTCGGCTTTTTTTTTCTTTTTTTGGTAACACGATAAAGAAAAGGTTTTCCTACAGACACGAAGACATGTAAACTATGACAGCACAGTGCTTCCCAAGCAAAGGAAAAAGAAAAAAGAAAAAAAAAAACAACCCAAACAACTTTGAAAGAAATCAAACAGTCTGAACCATGGCAAGTCAGATGGTTAGAGCATTCCTAGAAAATCACTTTATCTACAGGTATGTCTGGAAGTAAAGAAAGAATGGAGTGACTTTACTGAAATGAGACTGACCACTGTGAGGCTGCTGCATTATATGCAAGGCTTGGAGGAGCGTCAGAAAAAAAGTTGTTTTGGAAAAGATTATACGTTTTCCCAGTTGGGGCTTTTTTTCATAATTAAAGCTGCAGCTTATCCTAGAAAATTCAATCTTCTCTGGAAATATTGTTTTCAATTAAAAAGTAATTGCATTTTCTCACGAAAAGACTTTTGTCTTCAACTTTACAAAACAGAGTAATAATTTCCAAATAAATTCCGAGCAATTTGCAAATCCTTTTGTGTTCGTGTTATTGTGAACTCCTCTCCATGTGTACTGATTTAAACAGCGATGAGGGTTGTTTGAAAGGTCTCTTTAAGCTTTGATTAAACAACTTTGTAGTTTTGCAATTTCATGTATGTTCCAAGATTTTTCTTGCAATGGATTTAGCTGCGCAGAACATATGGCATTTATAAAAGCAGACAACACATGGACCACATGCTGGCATTCATTTCCCTCACGAAAGTGATTTAATTCTATAATTTTAATTCTCTTTTCTTCTGCTAAACAGATACCAAAAAATATAGCTGATAATCCGAAATGAGTTTTCTATGATATACTGCAGAGTTAAGCGTGCTAGAATATATTCAAATTGGTTTGATGAAGCAAATTTTGTTGCCCATGATCAGGTAATTCATTTGAAATCTTTCCATAGCCTGTAGCAAGATTACTGTGGGAATGCGAAAACGTACAAAAATCGTTCAGCATTTCTGCTTGACGCTGCTTTGGTTTCCAAACAGCAAATTACTTCAGCATCGTGCAACTTCTGGTACCAATCGGGTTTGCTACAGACCTCATGTTGCTTCCCAAAAAGCAGGATGCAAGTACTTTTTGAATGCGGAAACGTTTCGTTTGCAAATTGTGAACCACTTGCCCGCTGAGTCTACTTCATGACCGCTAGTTATGTTTTAATTGTGCCCATTAAAAATCATGCTGAAAAAATTTACATTTGATAGGCAAAGTTAAGTTTTACTCCCATACTTGTCTCTCTGTAGGTTGCTAGAGGAAAGCATAAGGAAAGTAAGAAAACAAGAGAATGAAAATAGAAACTACAGTTCAGTTAAAAAGGAAACTTGAAATAAAAACTGGAAACAAGGTTTTATGAGCTCTTTATCACAGATTTATCGTCCCAGTTATACTAAAGTGATCTTATGACTCATCAAACAGTAACTGCTGGGTATTTACTGACGAATTGCACCGCAGTTAAGGAAGGCAACACGACAACGTAACAAGGAAACGTCAGGTTAAGTGACGACACCCTTTATTCCTGCAGGACTAAACTGTTCTAACTGTTCACCTCCAGATTTCCCTATGGGGAGATGCTCTACCATAAAGCTGCACTATACTATAGTGGAGATCTGTTTGCCGCCGGATACAAGGTTCTACACTGGGGTATCCCAAAGGGGTCGAGATGCCTTGTGCTCCTTTAGGATCTAATCTGTTCCATAAGCAGGTTTTTCTCAGCAAGCTTTAGAGTCGACCTTATATTGCATAGACATGATACCTCTAAGTGATATCTATCTTGAAGATGGGCTCTCGGACCATGGGGTGTCAGTCCTGTAATAGTATATTAAGATTTATGCCACCTGTGTTAAAAACATGGATAATTATTGGTAAATGCTGTTATGGCAAAGGCATTACTATAATATAGTGCAGTTTTACA